GGACTTGAGGACCTAAGGGTACCCCTATAGTATAGGACTTGAGGACCCAAGGGTACCCCCATCATATAGGACTTGAGGACCTAAGGGTACCTCTATAATATAGAACTTAAGGACCCAAGGGTACCCCTATAATATAGGACTTGAGGACCTAAGGGTACCCCTATAGTATAGAACTTGAGGACCTAAGGGTACCCCCATAATATAGGACATGAGGACCCAAGGGTACCCCCATAGTATATGACTTGAGGACCTAAGAGTACCCCGATAATATAGGACTTGAGGACCTAAGAGTACCCCTATAGTATAGGACTTGAGGACCTAAGAGTGCCCCCATAATATAGGACTTGAGGGCCCAGGGGTACCCCCATAATATAGGAGTTGAGAACCCAAGGGTACCCCTATAGGATCTCAAAATTTGGGAAAGACAACCTTTGCGTGATGATGGAAGTGAGTTGGAGTTACCCGTTACCGTTACCAAGTAACGCAGAGTTACCGTTACCCGGTAACTAGTAACGCAAAAGTTACTAGTTACCAAGTAACTAGTAACGCAAAAGTTACTAGTTACCAAGTAACTGGTAACGCAAAAGTTACTAGTTACCAAGTAACTAGTAACGCAAAAGTTACTAGTTACCAGGTAACTAGTAACGGAAAAGTTACTAGTTACCTGGTAACGTAACGCATCGGTAACGGTAACTTCCCTCCCCTAATTGATACTCGTTATCATCAGATTATTTTTTAGTTTCAGAATTTAAAGAAAACTTACGAATGCGCTTACTCATTGATATTGGAAAGTTACTCGGTAAATATTTTGTTGATCAATAAATATAAAAAAGATTAGCTTTTCTTTATAGACCTACTGATTGAAAATAATTCGGATGATGTTGCATCTATGACGACAGCTCTGAAAGTAATTACAAATCACATGGACGTCTCATTTTAGGTTGCATATTTCTATTTCTAGTTCTATTCATTGACGTCTATCTATTATGGTATAAATGAAAGTTATGTTGAATTTTCACGCGATGAATTTACTTCTCACGAACAATTATTAAAGAATAAACTATGTGGTGAAGGGCAAAATAATCGTTTTTTGTCGATCCAAAAAATAGGATTACAAATCGAAGTAATCGAGAAAATGAAAAGATAGTTAAAAACATTCTCTATTTTTCAGGAACTCGAACTAAGTAATGTTGGAATATTGAATGACATCGATAAACAAGTCATACTCAAATTATTTGAACTATCGATTAATCGATACAGTGAAGTAAGTTAGACTTTTTTCTATTAAAAATTTTAATAAATACAATTCTCAGGTTCGTTGCACAGCGCAAACCGAACTTTTCAATGTTCTGAAGTATTATCGATTCTCATTTCAAGTAATTGTCGATCGCATTGTCGAACTGTTTAATACACAAGATGAAGTTGATCATGATCAAATAAAAGTTTGTCATTTTTGCTTTTTCTTTTTCTTATTCTTATTTTAATTCATTTAAAAATCATTTAGGGATGTCTCTACATTCTTTTGGGTGATGATTCTTTTTTCTTGCCTACTAAATATTCGTGGACAATGAAGGAAAAATTGTGGCCATCAATTGCACGAATGGCTCATGCGAATAAAATTAGTACACAAAATTTAATTGATGATATTCATGAAAAAATTTGCGAAGAGTTCGTTACGCAAGTCATTATTCAAAATACCAATGAAATATCGATATATGCGGCAACAGCTCTATGGCGTCCGTTAGAACCAAACAAAATAGAAACGCGTAATAAATCTAATCAAAACGATATTCAGTCATACAGTAATCTAATAGAAACGCTTAATCTATTACTAATAGATGATACACTGCAAGTCTTTTTTCTTTATATTTAAATAAGTTTCTCTTTTGTTATTAATATTCAGGACTTGGGGTCAGCAAAAGATAACAATATCATTCTTATGTCTTCTACTTCAAAAGTTTGTGCCAATATCATCGTCATGTCTTGAAACATTCGTTGAGTTTCTTGTTCATGATAATATTGAATTACGAAGAGTTAGTTAAAGAGTTATGATAAAAATGTGAAATGTTTCCATTCGATTATTTTAGTACGCTACAATAGGTATTACAGCATTTTGTCGTTTACAAAAACCACCTCGACTCTATGTCGAAAAATCTCTTGAAGAAATTCTTCATAAGATGGATAAACCACTACCCGCTATGATGAATGATGAATATTGTCCGGGTGATCGTGATGATAATTTATGGGTAACAATCGATGATTATAAACCACCTAAGACGCAGATTGAATGGGAACAAACATGTTTTTTGGATAAATCGTTTCATGGTTATTATACCTGGCCGAAGATGATCAAATATGCAGTGAATAAACAAGAACGATACACACTAAATAATATACCGGATAACGTGACTATTTTATATGATCGTTTTATTGACAAGAATTTTGTAGAACGAGTGATACAATTTATGATTCTGGACGAAGACGAAGACGGTAGCGAGATAAATTTTGATAAAACTCAATTTGTCATGTTCAAAGTAAATGAGATTACAGCTATCTAATGTTCAAATGATAGATTTTCAAATCAGAAAGTATACCCTTTCGGGCTAAAAATGGAAACAAATACTTTGAAAGCTTTTAATCATGTCTTAAAAAATAGAAAACACAATATATTCAATTTTGACCTTTTGTGGAACTCACATATTCAAATCTGAGTGTAAATTTAAATCGGGATTTTTGCGGCTCCCTAGCTTATAGACATCCTTATCACAGACCTTAGCAAATAGCGTCGAAGGTCAAAGGACAACAAGTACGTTTGCATAGTAACGTGGGATGATGTGAGAGGTGTATGCTTCCCTAGCAACTAGAAAAAGCGCGTTAGTTTTAATAGCGCTTAGACGATTCTGGAATTTTCTAGAATCTTTCAAAACATTTTGGAGATCTAAAATTTTTACTATTGGTTCTAACTAGTCGGAATATTGCGGGTTTTGGTATCTAGTGTAGCGAAATGATCCTGTTGTAGGTATTAATCAGTACGGCGGTTGTATTATTGATGTATTAGAGCCAGACCTAAACCGATAGAGAAAAGTATGAACTAACTGAATTCTAACTTTCGGAAATAATTAATATCAGTGTCTCTGTGTTTATCGAGATACATAATGGAGCGGCAGTCAAAAAAATTAAGCGAAAGAAATATATATCCGAAATAAAAATAGAAATTGGGTACAGTGATATACTGACAATTTATTATCATTGGAGAGCAACTATCATCTGTTAGATTTTCGTCAGTTTAGGTGTTTTTCGTATTATTATAATGATGTTCGAAGACATGTGAGTTCCACATTTTAGCGTCAAAGGGGCTGTGCTAACAAGCTTTTACATATAAGTGAAATGCGTACGAAATCTATTGATTCTGGAAATAGATTTGTTGTAATCATGTTTTTTAGCTAGCAAATTTGTTTTATAGTGATTTTCTTAAGTCTCACATAAATGAATACTTTATTTGATCATCTAGGGCCTCTTTCGCAATTTCGGTCTTGCTTTTCTGGACAATTTTATGGAACAACTGTACATGCTTATTCATGAAGAAACAAAAGAAAAACAGGCAGGTAGTCATCGAGTGGCAGCTGAAATAGTAGCTGGCGTGATTTGCGGTTCGAAATATTGGACATTAGAAATGGTAAGTCAAATATGTTCACTTTACGCGATAACGGAAGTTGTATTATCAGAAAAATCATCAGTTCGTTTTTTTGCCTAATTAGACGTAGATTCTAGTAAATACAAGATACTTCAGTATTTTTATTTAGCTTAATGAACTATGGGAAAAGCTCACACCATTTCTCACTGAAGTTTGTACAAATCTCAATTTCGAAATTCTCTCCTACTGGAACACATGCTTCAAATACAGTATGGTCAGTTGTTTACCTCTTAATTGCTTCGCTAAATCTTGTCTATATCTAAAAGGAGAATAAAGATCCTCGTCGTATATATCGACTCATTCATTTTATTCGTACATTGATCAATACAAAAACAATGTTGAATACATTCAATGAAATATCTCGCTGGACTTTAATAACAAATCTAAATGAATTTCAATGGCGTATTCCATCTATTTGGTGTGAGATTAATGACTATGCCAAAGAATTTCTCGATCATCCATACAAAAATGTACGAGAAAGTATTGCCAGGTAAGTAACATATCCGAGTTTATTTGTAATACAAAATCAGATCATTATTTTTTTGTTATTAGTATATTATCAATATCAATTAGCTTTGATATAACGTTGTTCAATGGAAAATCGACACGTCACCCTAATACTAGTCAATTTATCGATACTATATGTAAACGATTGCGTCAAGCTATTGAAGTTTATGAAAGGACATCATTAAGTAGGATAGAATTCTGTTTACTTTTATTTCAATATCATTTTCAGTCAATATATCGGATGAAGCAGTTGGCATTGATCTTGAAGCACGCAAAGCGTTGAATTTCATTGAAGCAGGTAAAAGTATAATTATTTGATGTTTAAAAAGTGCAGTATATACCTGTTTCTTTTTCTTTGAAATGCAATGTAGTGGTTGATATGCACATGCAATTCTTCTTCTGGTGTCAACAACCAGTAAAACATGCCATAATTCGTCTTTTTCCTTATGTATGTACTTAGATTAGGCTTATGTAAACATATCAACCTACTAATATAAAACGTTTCAACACGTCATTTTTTTAGCTATGTGAAATTGAAAGTATTGCGACCAATGACAATGTCTTTAGAGAAAAATTAACAATCAGTCGACTATATGTCGGCATGTGTTTTTTAAACGCAAACATTTTAGAAGCACTTATTCAACAATTAGAAGAAGTATATCTTCAAAAAAAAAAGATTCTACAAATTGTCTCTTTTATCGTCTCATACGCAGGTTTGTACAAGCCACAAATGGCATGCACGTCAAGCGGCTATTGAATTTACACAAAACATGATCTTTTGCAATATATTTAATGCTCGTCCTTATGCTAAACAATTACATAAACTTGTACTCAAATGTCTATTTGATGAACAATTTGAAGTGCGAATAGCTGCGTTGATGACTTTGTCTGGCTTATACCAATGTGACTACATTCAAGTGACTAATGAAGATCTAGTAGGATGTTCTTGCCTTTTCTTTTCTTGAAAGAATTTTTTAAAATTTTTTAATTGTAAAAAGAAATACTTTCGTATGATGAGCAAGACTAATTATTTCACCAAAATCGATGGCAAGAAAGTCACATTATCGAACAATATTGCCAAACGACATGGCGGTAAATATATATATATAATGATGAAATAAACGAAGTTCAAACTTTAAGTGTTAAGATACAAATTCGCTAACTTTTAAGAGTTACATTAGACTGATTAGGCTATTAAAAGTTCGGATTTCTTCTTGTTGAGTAAGTCTTTTTTTCAATACTAATAAGACAGAATGCTTTCAAGCAGAATGAATTCCATGTAGATCAGCGTCTTTGAATATTGTATTTACTAGAAAAGCTTAAAAACCATATGTTTCATTAATGTCGATAATTTTGACTATCGTTATAGGTGTTTTGGGACTCTGTGCCATTGTTCTTTCAAGTCCATATGACATTCCAAGTTATGTACCAGATGCATTGATGCTTCTCTGTGAACATTCGCATGATCCCGATATAATACAAGTGTGTTTTTTCCAATCTGCTATTATCAGAATATACCAAAGTTTTTGTCTTTAGAAATCGATTAAAAACTGTTTGTCAGAATTTCGTCGTACTCATCATGATTCATGGCATGAACATCGAGAACAATTCACTGAAGATCAACTGGCAGTTTTGGCTGATGTACTCATATCTCACAGTTATTATGCTTAAAACTGAATTGATATGATTTTATGTGACTTATCATGATGATTTTTTTCTCAGTTAAATCAATATTATTCGTGAAATATGAAGAATTAGAATGTGGGTGGGGTGTGGGTTGGATGTGGGTGTTGATATAAAGGGTGTGGGTGTGGGTATGGATGTGGATGTGGGTGTGGATGTGGGTATGAGTGTGTGGATCTTCTCGGCTACCACACCCACACCCACCCACACCCACACCCACATCCTCATGATACGATTATTGTTCGTATCAGCTATATAAAGTGTGCCTATATTTGAATTACGTGCAATACCATATGGATGGTCTAATTCATTGTTTGATGAGCCTGCTGAAGCTGAATAAATAAAATTAAAATAATTTTTATTCAAATTAATAGAGTTGATCTATTTTCAAAAAAATTATTTTAGAAATTGAAAGAAACAATGAATTCAATTTTTATCTTTTTTTGAGAATAATTTACTGATTAGTCTCTTACTTGAACCAGCTATTTGTGTTCCTGATGATGCACCATTCGACCAAAACATAACTTGATTGTTGTTTGTATCTGCTATATATATATTCATACTGGAGTCAACAATAATTCCAGTTGGATAATATAAATTATCTAAAGCAGTAGTTGCTGTTGCATTTTTACCAGCTACTGTGGTTCCAGTTGATGCACTTTTTAAATATTTTTGAACTCGATGATTATCGGAATCAGCAACATATAGTGAACCATTTGAATCTAATGTTAAATGATAAGGAGTATATAATTGATTTGAAGCTGAACCTGATGAACTCGTTATGCCAACTATTGTCGAGCTTGTTGAATTCCAACGGAGTTGAGTACTAGTAGCTATTTAAGAAAATTATATTTTATTCTATTTTATAATGATAATAAATAATAAATAATTTATTTTCAAAAAAAAAATCAATTATGATTTATAGATTTTTTTTCAAATATATAAAACACAAGAAAAGAGATGAAATGTTTTCAATAAGCAAAGAAAATTTTCTTTTTCTTGAAAATATGCAAAAAAGATAGGATAATAATCAGGTATAATATGCTTTTTACTTGTTGTGCTAGTTGTTTTTGTTGTTTCCATAACATGAATAAGTAAATAAATCGAAATGGCCATTGCTGCTATAGCAAATAAAAAAATAATTGTGCTACAAATAATAAACAGTGTGTTGAAACGTTTGCTATAATTATAATTTGAATTTAGTTTTGAGTTTAGTTCAGCTTTGCTTTGAATAAATGAAAAGTGATTAGGAAAGATATATCGTTGATCTCGTTTATCATCAATATTCAATGGTTGATAATAAAGATCATTTCTATATAAAAATGAAAAAAAAAGTTTTACTGAAAATAGAAAACGAAAATTCGGTTAGATTTTTTTTTCTTTACTGCAAATTTCTATTTGATGGTAATTCAACATAATTCATTGATAATTCTCAAGTTGACCAAGGTTGTTCATATTGATTTTTATTATTGTTTAATTTGATTTTTTTTGTTGATGATCGTGGCTGAATACCTAATGATTTAGTTGATATATTTTATTGAATATCCGACATACAACGCTTTCCATAATGTTCTCTATCATCATATGGTGTTATCTAAAATAGATAAATAACATTTAAATATGATTAGAAACAAAAGAAAACAAAACTTATTTATATAATATTATTTTCGATGACCATTGAGAATTAATTCGTCTTAGAACAATTGGCACACGATTATATTCATATTGATCCATCGATGTGTTATAATAAAAAAAACACAAAATAATTTTCAAGAAAATTATTAAAATTTTAAAATATAATTATTGAGAAAGAAGCCGTAATAATATCTTCGATCGTGTCATCATTTTGCGTTCGGGCGTCGACACTTATGTTATTACATTTTGTTTTTTGCTATTTACTATGTTTTCTTCTACTGATAGACTTTATCATTGATAGAAAGAGTGTTATTTCATTAATTGTTACAGCTATATTTCATTGATATTCAATGTTCAACTTGCAAAAAAGAATTTAAATTCAACAATGAAAAAAAAAATAATATAAACAAATAAATTTTTATAGAATTCAAACAGAAAAATAAATATATCATTAGTTTTCTCTATGATCAGACTATAAATCATATCTCATATTAGATGACTTAAGAATATTTCATTAAATTAGAAAAAAAAACATCAGTAGTTATCTGAAGAGTTAATTCTCACATCTGAATTTTGAACTCGATCGTTATAAAAATAAATCAACATGAATAAATATCTGGGTTAATTTATTCTATTGTATGACTAAAAAAAGAAAGTGAAATTTAGTAGAAATCTAACAAGTGTCAAGATCAACAGACAAAAGCCAGAAAATTAAAGTATAAGAAAAACAAAAAAATTCGTATTTAGTCGAGCTACTTTTTCTTTTCGATAACTTATGTTGAATACCTATTAACTCTATTCTCTATTCATTTTTAGTTTGACACACGAAACTTTGTTTTTCATTTTTAAAAATGGAGATCGACTAATCTAGAGATTATTTATTCATTTTAGTAACTAGAATCATTATTTGTAATTGTTAAATCAGTGATTATCGAAAAGATTGTTGACAAAACAAATTTTTCAATGATTATTAAGAGATTATTCAAGAAAAAAAAAATGAAAGAAAATTGATTTCAGCAGAATCTCAAAATCATGAAAAAAATTTTAAAACAATTAATATTAAATTTAAAAACAAAGTTTTGTACTAAATCAATAATAAAAGAATAGAAATTTTATTAAATATTATATAAAAATAACGAAGAAAAGTCGTAAATTTAATTTTGAGTTATATTGAGATTTGTTTCACTATTCAATAGAATTTACTATAGAACTTAATAAATACTTGCTAATATATTAAATAGAATGTTTTTCAATATTTGAAAATTTGATTGAATAAGACTATTTTGAGATAAAACATTGAAAATATGATTGATTGACAATTTAAATTCTCAAATGAAAAAATATTTTTATTGTTTTGATTATTGATTATTTAGTTATTGTTTTTTTTTTAGTCTACAGATAGTTACAATAATGCAATGATAAATATTGTATTAACCTGTCAGTTGAATGAACATTATTTTGAATAATTTCTATAGACTGTTGGATTTTATAAGAATTAAAAAAACATAGAAGACTTTTTTCTAGATAATAGTGTTTGAAAAAAGTTTGTTCAATTTGATAATTCAATTTTAGATAATAAGATATTTTTTTTATTATTTCATTTAAAATAGTTTTAAATATTTTTAAAAAATCATTCTTAATCATAAACAATATCTGTATAAATGAACATCGTTTATATATATGTTGTCAAGATCAATATCGAATTTCATCTTTTTTTTTTGCGAAATTTTATCTTAAGAATATTTTTATATTATTTTTCAGTTAAACATATTTTTTAATAGATTATGTACTAGATCTTAGTTACATATCTATATAAATAATCTTCAGTGTGTGTGTCTGTGACACGTCAAAGATCAAAGGTTAGAGATCAAATAAGGCTATAAGGAGAAGGTCCAATGGCTATTATATGGGAATACCCATAGGTCGTGAAGGGAGTATAACACGAAGAGGTTAAGACAATAAGGAGATCATGCTGCAATAGCTACCAGAGATATAAGGCTATAACGCCAAAGGCTAATGGACAATCAAATTATTTGCGACATAAGAGTATGAGACAGTATGGCTACCTGTCCGTATACTTAATATCGAGTGTATGTATGTCCGTTATCGGATGAAAAATTAAACGTTCGTCTTCATACGTTAGAGAAAAAACAAACAGTCATACAGTATGCACGGGCTCTCGATAGTTTTATAATATAATTTATAGAAATAAGCATAAAAAATGTTCTAGCATAAATAGAAGTGAATCTTCTTGGATCTTTTTTTTCTTGTTGTTTAACGATGAAAAAGAATCTGTGTTATTTTAAAAAATGAATAATATCATATTCTATAAAAGTATCAATTTTATTTTTTTTTAAATCTTTTTTTTATCAATGTTATATTTAAAAGATAGACATTAACTCAATCATTCTATTGGCATTTTCTATATTCTCATAACATTTAATGATCAATATTCAAGACATTGCTAAGTCTATGGAATAACAATGCTTTTAAAATTCAAAAGTAGTTAATGTTTTATTTATTATAATGCCATTTGATTTAGAATCGAATTCTGAAGAAACAAACTAATATAATTGTTAAATAAAACATTGAAAATCTATATATTTATCTCAAAATGCTAAATTAAACGAAGAAATTTCTGAAATAATTTTAGTTTTAGTTGATCCTTTAGTGAAAATTCTCATTAGTTTATCTTGTTCTAATTAATTAGCTTAGCAGTTCTATGATTAATTATCTGTTTATCTATTAAATTATGTATTAATTAATAAAATTTGTTTAAAAAACATAATTGACAATATTGCAGATGATGAAAATGTTTATCTTTTGTCATATAAGAAAAAAGATTATTTATAACTCATAAAATAAATCTAATAATAAGTTATTATAGTTTGATAAAGAATTATTTTAATTTCGTTCGTATTCTCTGTAAAAGTTGTTGTTGATGTTGATTATTTGTTTTTCCATAGAATATGCTATTATTATGATTATCATTAATTAAAAATTGAAGATCAAAATAATGTTGTAAAATATGACGTCCAGCATTGCTTACAGCAATACCCGACCATTCTTGAACGATAGATCCATTTTTTCCATAAAATAATATTGTTTCGAAGAAATTTTCAACTAATAAACGAAATATTGAGAAATCTGAACGTTTTTGATATTCCGGATGAACAACAATTGAACATATATGTAATGAATAATTATCATTAGATTGATCATTCCAATTTCTAATATCATTATCATTTATATCTGTTAATTCATCGAATTCAACTTGAAGAGTTTTCATAAAAGCATCATGTTTAAGTGGTATTGCACAAATATAACCAATAATACAATTGTGATATTTAGCTATCCACCACATAGAAGGATTTAAATGATACCATCGAATAAGTACTTCAGATGATATAACTATTGATGCATTATAAACTTTTCTTGCTAAAAGCTCAATATCAATCATTGTCTGTTCAGCTTCTTCATTTAATATTTTATGAGTTATTGTTAATGATGTTGAGTCCATTGATTTACAGATTCGATATATTTCAAGTATAAATGTTTAACTTATGTCTAATTATCTAGAAATACAATTCTTATCATCATATACATATATAAAACATCATTTTTGAATATCTATTTAATGTCTTGATTGTCAATGACAATGAATAATTGAATATAAATTGTTTTTCTTTTTAAATAAATATTTATGATAAACCTTATGACAAAAAAAATGATTCGTTATCAAAATTTTATCTTTTTTTTCGTTCTGTTTAGTTTTTATTCTTTCCCTAACTGTTCGTCAATAATCTCTATATAATATATTCTATTTAAATATAGTTTAATGAAAAGAACATTTGTTTAATGATGTCTTTTTTTTTATTGAAATAGACCTAGGGTGTGGGTGGTTGTTGATCACACCTGGTCTCGCACCCCACATCCACATCCATCCCATGAAATCGACGAAAAACAGCATAACCTTTGCACATCATCATTTCTACCTTAAAGTCGAGCAGAATTAACCATATAAAGTTTGCGAAACTTCTTGCTTTGTCATTTTTTTCTGTTTATTTGCTTTAATTTTTAGGTAAAAATGATGATGTGCAAAGGTTATGCTGTTTGTCGTCGATTTCATGATATCAGGATGACATTTATAGCGCAACAAGTAGTTCCGATCATGATCTACTCATGCTATAAAGGACAACTTGTTGTGCTGTATATGAATGATTTTCCACGGCTGTCGGTTTTCAGGTATAAAATGATATGAATCTTCACTTTTCTAGTAGTTATAGCTCTGAAAATTTTATCATAGAGTTGGCCATAAATAAGCAATCTGGAATGGAATTTTGAAGCCTCACAATTGAACATAACCTGAGATTTGAATCAAATAATGGTAGGGTTTTGAAATGTAAGTTCAATGGGTAGGTACAGAATAGCTCATAACTTGATGAAGGTATGCCGAATTTTTATAAAAATTTTATTAAAGAGAGGAAAAGAGTCAGACGTTTCAACGATATGTCGAATGACATTATTTCTCTTTCCTAACTTGAGATAACACAACTTGAAAAATTCGTGCCTGTTTGCCTTATATCTCAGCCTTGGTAAGGTCATAGGGCTCAAGCTTTGGCTTACAATCAGGACTCATCCAATTCTTGTTATGGTAGAAGTTTTAAGGCAAACAAATTTTGTTTAGATAGTTTTTGCCTAGTTGCGAGACTTTTGTCCACGACTGTACCATTCATAATCATTTGGAGGTAAACACAATGCAAGTCAATGAATTTATATTTGTCTTTC